GTTGGTATTTTGAGCAACTACAGCCATAAACAAAGGTCAAGTTCATCAAATTGTAGCACTTTACACTTGCTTCCTTTATGAAACTTCTTTATCTTCCTCTAATTGAGTTCTGATCTGCAAGCCATCCAAGCTAGGTCAAATGGGTACCATCTACCATCTGCAAGTTTGGATGTTCTTGTGTGTCTCCCACTACTTCAGATCAGCTGGCCATTTCACTCTCAGCTCTAGCCTCTAGTGGCTAGGTCAGTGCCCATGGGCTCAAGAGTTCCTATGTCTCCCCAAACTTCAGACCAACCAGCCCTTCCTCTTCTCTTTCTCATCTCAAGGTCAACAGGAGTCTATGGAACATGGTTGAACTCAGCTCATGTCTTCATTACTGTCTTTCCCTCACTTCCACTCACAAGTAGACCAAGGCAGTCACTAGTGAGCTTACAAGCCTGTTGAATCCATTGTTGCTGCTACTGTGTCAATATATCTCTTTGGGGTCTTCCTTTTTTTTGCTGACCATCCACTTTACCAAGCATGATGTCCTCCAGGGATTGGTCCCTCCTCACCACATGTCCAAAGAATGAGAGACAAAGTCTTGCCATCTGTCTATACTTCTTACAAGACACAATTGTTTGTTCTTCTGGTAGTCCATGGTACTTTCAAACGTCTTCACCAACACCATGACTCAAATGCATCGATTCTTGTATGATCTTCCATATTCATTTTCCAACTTGCATGTGCATAAGACAATTGAAAATACCATGGTTTGGGTCAGTCACACCTTAGCAATCAAATTGACATCTTAAAGGTGTCTTTTTCATCAGATTTACCCAATACAATATTGCCATTTTAATTTTTGACTGCTGCTTCCATAAACATTGATTGTAGATCCAAGGAAAATGAAGGTCTGACAGCTTCAATTTTTTCTTCACTTATCATGATGCTATTTATCAGTCCAGCTGTAAGGATTTTTATTGTGTTTATGCTGAGATGCAATCTGTAGTGAAGGCTGTAGTCTTTTATCTTCATCAGTAAGTATTTCAAGTCTCCCACTTTCAGCAAGCAAGATTGTATCATCTGCACATAACAGGTTGTTAATGAGTCTTCTTACAGTCCTGATGCTACATTCACATCTATTTTTGAACTTTCTTTCTTGTCTTTTTAATGACCTTTTGCTTGCCTTCTGTATGATGTTCTTGATACTATCCAACAACTGCTCTGATCTTCAGTCATTAGTGTCTAATGCGTCAAATCTGTTTTGGAAAAGATGTATAAATTCAGGTGGGATATACTTCAGGCCAAGGGCCCCTGGTAGCATAGTGGATTACGAGCTGGGCTGCTAACCACAAGGTCAACTGTTCAGTCCACAAGCTGCTCTGGTGAGGGGGCAACAATGTATTGGTCAGGACAAATGATGACGATAGAGCTACACTATCCAGTATAATAGCAATTAGCTGCATGTATCTGTTGAATACTTGAAATGTGACTACCGTGACTAAGAAGTCAATATTTAAATATTTAATTTTAACTTTAACATTTGATTCATTTATTGGAAAACTTTTAAGTACATTTGGAACAACTTGGGTATGTGAATCTCAGTTGTAAATTTTGTGAAATCTATGTACAGACTAAGAGGCTGTTGTTCAAACAGAACATATGGATATTGAATGGTTTAAAATCACGAAAGGTTTGTGCCAGGGTTGTATTCTTTCACCATAGTTATTCAAATTTAATGTGGAGCAAATAATCTGAGAAGCTGGATTATATTAAGAAGAACATGGCATCAAGGTTGGAGGAAGACTCATTAACAGCCTGTGATATGCAAATGATACAGACTTGCTGGCTGGCAGTGAAGAAGACTTAAAATACTTACTGATGAAGACCAAAGACCACATCCTTCAGTATTGGTTGCACCTGAATGTAAAGAAAACAATCCTCACCACTGGACCAGTAAATAACAGCATGATAAATGGGAAAAAGATTGAAGTTGTCAAAGACTTTTGCTTGGATCAACCTTCAACACTTATGGAAGCAGGAGTCGAGAAATCAAATGACATATTTTACTAGGCTAATCTGATACACAAGCTCTCTTTAAAGTGTTATACAGCTAAGATGTAAATTTGAGGGCTAAGATGCTCCTGATCCAAGCCAGGATATTTTCAAAAACCTCATATGCATGTGAAAGTTGGACAGTGAATAAGGAAGACCATAGAAGAATTGATGCATTGGAGTTATGGTGTTAGAGGAAAATATTGGAAGTACCATGGACTACCAAAAGAAGAAACAGATCTGTGTTGGAAGAAGTACAACCAGAATGCTCTTGAGAAGTCAGGATGATGAGACTTCATCTCTCATACTTCAGACACTTTGTCAGGAGGGACCAGTCCCTGGAGAAAGATATCATGATTGGTAAAATGGAGGGTTGGAGAAAAAGAAGACCCCAATAAGATGGGTTGACACAGCAACAGCAGCAATTGGCTCAAACATAACAACAATTGTGAGGTTGGTGCTATACTGGACAGTGTTTTGTTCTGTTGTGCATAGGGTCGGTAGAGTCGGTACTGACATATGGCACCTAACACCACCACTACTACCACCAACAGAGACTACTAGAAAAAATTAAATTACACATGTGCTTGCATATTTTAGTTTGATAACACATCCGTGGAGGGCAATCCATGTTGTAAGAAAGAGCATACCAAGGCTACTGGAGTGAAACAAGTTGGAGATGTTGAAGGAAGCTTTGGAGAGCTAAGGGATCTTCAAAGAGGAGATGACACATGAGCTGGGTCAGGAAGAACCAGGAGTTTTTAAGGCAAAGCTGGGAAGGACAGGTCAGCTGGAGGGAACAGCATGGAGAAAGGTACAGAAGTATGTGATAAACTCTGACTTGTTTGAAGA